GCGAGATAATTTTTATCGATCAACTTTTCGGAACAATTCATATCTACACGTCGATATAAAAAGGCCAGGTTACAGGTAGCTATGGAAACCCTAGGGTCGCCGCCTACATATAGGTATACGACAAACTTTATACTTTTAATTACTATTAAAATAATTAACTTTTTGGAATTTTCTCTTTTGATGGCTCATATAAGCACCGAGTACTAATTGAAGGATAAAAATGTATCCAGCTTACTGAGCTCATTAATTGACCAACGTCAAGAAATGATTGACTTTTTCAAGGCAAAAGAAGAAGAAAAAAAAAGAGAAAAACTACTTGAGTTAAGGTAAAAATAATTTTATTGTATGTTCTTTCTGGTATTTTAAATTATAAATTATTTATTGCGCTACAGATTGAAAAAAATTGAAGAAGCCGAAGAAAAGACAGCAGAAATTATGCAAAAAAGCAATGAAATCGAGGAAAAAAAAATAGACTTAATGAGGGATTATATAGCTACATTGAGCAAAAATAAATAGCTTTAGGTTTGTTGTAATTGAAGGTACATACATTTTTTTTTTTGTTAAAATGTTACACATTTATAATATTTAAAGAATAAAGTTATCAAAATATTGACATATTGCATCTCTTTTGTTTTTGCCAGCATTTTTATTATTTATAACATCTGAACATGTGTCTTTGTCATTTGATATTGAATTAGATGTGTAAGCTTCATGACTGCTCCAATCATCTGATGTATCCATACAAATATTATGTAGATATACACATGTTGTAATAAATTTGGCACACTTAGTTTTGTCATAGACATCAAGAAATCTAAAACATATTTTATATTTCATTGTCATTGTAGCAATTATGAATGATTTTAATACATTACCTAAGTCGACGAAATCTCCCAAACAATTTTCCAAAACTTTGTTCTATCACTATCCGACTAGAGCTTAGTTTATAATTGAAGTGCCTTTGTTCTCTAGTTAAATGACCATTATCCCTATATGGTGTCATTAGACAATGCAATAGAGGATATGCACAATCACCAAGGATGTGCATATCTCTAGGAAAGAGATTTAATGAGTTTGAAATAAGTTGTTCACCGACAGGGCTATTTTTAAAAACATGTTCATCGTGTGCAGATCCTGGCCAACCAGAAAATATATTAATGAACTTATATTCTGAATCACAAATGCCCTAGAATGACGATTTTTAAGTAATTATTTGTGTTAGTAACTATTTTAAATGCCTTACTTGTCTATGACACATATCAACATTCGTTTCCAGTCCTGTATATCTTAGTTCGTGGTCCATAGGCAGCGATGTCAATAAAGTCAAAATTATTAATAGCATGGTCGTAAATAAATATTATATTATGTCTACATCCATGCTATTAATAGCGATTATAATTGATGGTATGATATTATGTTATGTAATAGTGTAATACACCATCAGTAGGTGTGGGCACACTGAACGTTTGACGTTTTAAATGATATACTATCAACTATTTCATTCTATTGCAGTGTTAAAAATATTCACCTCGTTAAAACGTTTAATTTAAGGCACCACATGCTAATTTTTTTCGGTCAATTAATATTTACCTGTAAAAAATAATTGGTAAATTTACAGAGCTTACATCTCTACCTCCAGCAGACGATCTATTCCGATAGCAAAGAAACTTAATTTGGTTGTTTCCGCACAAGTATTCTAAATTGGAACAGAATATATAGATGGATTAAGTATTTGCTAATCAGAAATCAGTATTATTTAAGGTCATCCAAACTTCTAACTACTCTCAAAACTTTTCTGAAATATCTAAAACCAACCTATGAGATATTCGTGGAAATCGAAATTTTAAAAGATTGGACAAAATATTTATTTATATCATTTTTTATTTATTTCACCATTTTTTTTTTCAAAATTTGGGTTTTCGGCGACAACACCCGAAGCACATCAATACCGCTCGCTTCACACGTTTCCAAGCATAGGAAGTACTTGATCGGTGGTAAGTTTTTTTCGGGTGAACGGTTGTCGAAAAAATTCCATTAAACTCCTTGTCATCATCTTGTACGACCTCCTCTAAGACCGTCTGAGCACAATCAAACAAATTTCCAACCGTCGTAATAGGTTCGATGTCCGATTCATCGTTATTTATAATCATCGACAACGCCGTGTTCTTCGTGTTTAAACAGGACGTCGACCGTCCGAATTCAATGTCATCGTCTTTCATGATCTCCCCTAAGACCGTCTGAGCACAATCGTTTCCATTGGTCGTAGTAGGTTTGATGTCCGATTCATCGTGGTTTATGATCATTTGTGACGCCGCCTTCTTCACGTTTGAACCGGACGTTGTCCATTCGTCTTCTAGGTAATCTTCTTGCATGATCTCCTTTAACAATGTCTGCATACTATAGTCTCCAACCGTCGTCNNNNGTTTAAACAGGACGTCGACCGTCCTAATTCAATGTCATCGTCTTTCATGATCTCCCCTAAGACCGTCTGAGCACAATCGCTTCCATGGGTCGTAGTAGGTTTGATGTCCGATTCATCGTGGTTTATGATCATTTGTGACGCCGCCTTCTCCACGTTTGAACCGGACGTTGTCCATTCGTCTTCTAGGTAATCTTCTTTCATGATCTCCTTTAACAATGTCTGCATACTATAGTCTCCAACCGTCGTCATAGGTTCGATGTCCGATTCATCGTTATTCATGATCATCGGAAACGCCGTGTCCTTCACGTTTAAATCGGACGCCGACCGTTCAAATTTCATATTATCGTCTTTCATAAACTCTAAGACCGCTTGAGCACAATCGTTTCCATGGGTTGTAATAGGTTCGATGTCCGATTCATCGTTATTATTGATCTCTTCTAACACCGTCTGCACACAATCGTTTCGATTGATCATTGGTATGATGTTAATGTCATTGACCGTCTCCTCCTTAGAAAGAATTATAATAAGTCCAGTTATTATATCTCTCACGACTTCTTTCATCTCGCAAAACTCGATATCTTCGAATTTATCTTTGTAAGATTCCATTTTTTTCAGAATATGTAGAGCTTCTTTTGTCTGTAATTCTGAGTAGCAAACGGATAAGTAATGAAAACAACATATTGATTTCGTCCATTAGTTGAATCAAAAACTCTTCCTGACGACGATAACAACGTTGTATTTTAGTTTATTACTAGCCAGTAAATACCAGCATACCTGCTGCACTTTGTTCTAGTCGGCCAGCTTAATTATGTAACGATCCTTTTTTTTATTAAATGAAATATTATTTTTTGATTATCAGCAGAATATATATATATACATAATTTAAAGTACTTTTAGCAAAGAAAATTGAAACAAATTACCCCTGTAGTATGTTTGTTTTCGAAGTTATTCAATTAAAATTCAACGAGCTTGCATAATGAGTTGGTTTTCAGATTCCAATCGATTAATTGTTTCCTGTAAATGGAACAACGCAGTTTTTACTGAAATCAGCATAAAGTAATCTTATATTATTTTTCGAGAGATAACCAGCATACCCGGGATATTTGTCTTATTTTATAACCATTAAGACTGACACGGTTATTTCATACAAATAAAATTTATCTTTTAACTCAGCAGATATTCTCAAAATATATATTGTTGGTACTTATAACCAAAAACGTTTGTTTCAACATTTTATAAATGAGGATTATGGCTAAACTTATCATAGCGAGTTCAATTATGCTTTCAGACACAACAATAATATAGGTAATATAATATGTTACCATTTTTGTCTGTTCAAAAGACAAAATATAGATAAGTTTTTGTCAAAAACGCGTTCAGCATCAGAACTTTCTCATAAATATGAGAAAGCCTGACGGAATCGGAGGCGTTGGACACACCGCGGCAACTGCGGTATCTGTTTGTCACAATACTGGTGTTCTGCGAGCCGCACAGATATAAAATACTAGATAGCTAACTTGTCTACATCAGGATATGAGATGTTGAAGTCAGCTACCATATGCGTGTAGGTCAATGTTTATATACATGTCTTATCAATACGGCGTGATAACATGATAGTATTCGCCATTCGGCGACCTACGTTGGCATTTATTTTATTTTATGTGAAATTGTTTAACGATTTGTTGGTAATTTTAAATCTATTCTGTATTTTATACCATTTTGTACTTCTATGATTACTTCAATAGTTCAATAATGCCTGCTACCTGTTCTATTCTGTTATTTTGAAACCATCGATGAAATTGATCAGGAAACGTTGAATAGAAATATCCTACTTAATTGTACTAATTCATCCATGAGTGAGGTTAAACAAATCATTCTTTATTATATTACAGGGTATGTAGATCGTTAAATTTCAAAACATATTGATTGTGTTAGTTGCATCCAATCACTATTATTAAGTCAAACTTCTATTGACCATAATTATCCTATACCTCTGTTGTATACTGAATTAACTTCTTTCAAAAATCTTGGTGGCTTATTTTTATCTTCAGAGAGTTCATATAAAGTTATATAGGGTCAGAGAAATACTATTTGTATTTAACTAATAACTTACCAAAGATCAATGTACCCTATTAACAAAAAAAAATTATTTTTTATGTTATTAATAAATTTGCATTGGATTTTAATTTTTTTAATAGCTTAAATTGTGAAAATGTAGGTTTATTAGACAGACCTCATAAAATATTTTAAATCACCCATCTTGTAAAGACATTTTTAAGCGTTACACTGCAATCATACGGTAAGCAATTTTCTAGTGACGCTTTAAATACGATCAGTCAAAAACAGAAATTAACAAAAACAATATTATTTTATAATCAGTAATGTATATTATAGTATTGTTCTATGGTAGTATATATTATATTTTTTATATATATATTTATATTATAATTTATAAATCAAATACCATAAGATTGTTATCAAGTTGTGTTGATAAGACAATTATGTAAACATTGACCTACACGCATATGGCGGCGAACTTCAATGTTTGATGGCTTGTTAGCTATCTAGTATTTTATGTCTGTGGCGAGCCGTCAAACCCGCTGGCGTTGTACGAGGCGAACGAAGCAAACCTGATGGAGGATTTCAATAGGCGCCTCCCAGACGTCGACCGCACGAGGGCCGCGTGTTTGAACGTCATCGAGGATCTACTTCGTGCGCACGGAAAGTCGTTGAGCGACTACTGTTTGCCACTACCCGACCCCCTAATGCTGGAACCGGAACAGGACGACAGACTGTTCTAATCAATAGACGCGGCGGCACGGAGGGCACAAAAGTTGGACGACATAAACGCCGAACAGCGGAGTTCGACCGCGTGAAGTAGCGAAGACTTTTACGTCGACGGACCTGGGGGCACCGGAAAAACGATTCTGTACGGATGCCTCATTTGGTCGCGCCGCAACAGTCAGTGGCCGGTCGGTGTTATGCGTCGCATTCATCGGGATCGCCGCGTCACTCATGGACGGCGGCATGACCGTGCACTCGACGTTCGGCATGCTGACCGACGATTCTACATCGACCATCACCATGCGCCAATGTCCCCGGGACTGCAACTGACGGTGGTGGACCGCCTGCTCAGGGACGTCATGGGATCAGAATTACCGTTCGGCGGTAAACCCATGCTGTTCTCGTGCGACTTCAGGCAGATATTGCCCGTGGTCCGAAGAGGATCGAGGGCTGACATCATCATGTCCTCGATCAAGCACAACAGTCTGTGGCGCGGCATGGAGGGCTTCAATCCAAGGTAATTATAATTACCTTGCTTCAACCTGGTCCGCAACATGCACGCCGACGACTCGCGATTCGTTACCTGGTAACCATGACTAAATTAGTCATGCTGGTAACTGCAGTTTGCTCGGCAACTTACTTACGGTCTACTGCCCGCGGGTGATATCTGTTCTGTGCTACAACCAATAAGAATTGACTACATCAGTATGGCCAACTGTAAGAAAGTATTATAAAGTATAAATATTGTCTAATTTATTTTAATTTTTTATTTTACCATAGTTAAATAGTCTAATCTTTAGATATAATGTATATATTATATTTTATTGTATAAACATAGTTTTTGACATTAGTTATTTTTTTTTTTTTTTTTATTATGGTATCGAGGACTGGAGGAGGAACTATGGTGCCAGCACTTCTCCTTCAGCCCCCATCGTTTATTGTCAAAAACAAAATACAATACAACAAATAACAGCGGCGAGCCAGTCCCCCACTCGCTGCAATTACAAACAAAAATTGTATTGTCTTAAGCTACAAAACAATTTCCGGCTAACAGTGTTTTATGCTGAATACCGCCGGTTCACAGCCTGTCGCACACGTTCCTCCTCTTTTACCGAAAGGATGTTTTCTACCATGCCATAGAACAGCCGGAACCGCTCTTCGGCTTTTCTCAGGATCACATATCTCCCGTGAGCGTCCGCTGGCAAGAGCTCGAACGCCGGTCCGCAGATGATGTCCGGAACGTCATCAGCCCTCGGTTGATGGCCAATCCTGGCGCTCAGGGCTTCACGAAGGCCGTCCCAATGGGGGCAATCGAACAGCGTGTGTTCGACGGTGTCTGCATCGCCCGAACACTGCCAGCAACGAGGGCTGGGGGCCCTGTTCATGCGATGCAGATGACATTAGTTATTTATTAATCATTTTATTAATTTTAGTTAATATTACTATACATAACATTAATCTTATTTTACATAATGTATATTATATACATTATACACATACACTTACCACATTTTTGACATTTATTTATTCATAATTTCTTGATTAGTAGATATAAACATGATACATTTAATATTAAAATAATTACAATTTGAGCTAAGAAAACAACTTTGTGAACATTGGAAAATAAATCATTGCATATCCCTCAGCTGAGATATTTGAGCTGTAAAATATGTCTGTGTTACTACTGATGGTT